AACGATGCATTCGAGACAGAATCATCGGTGTGTGGTTGTGAGGGCCTGTAAAATGCTTTGCACTTTTGCATATCGAGACATTCTATAGCATCAGGTGCGACCAATGGTTGCGACTCTCAGGTAACCCCAGCTCGCCGGATGAGCTCTGGTCGGGCTGTAGCCAGCTCATAGCTCAGTCTGCAGGGTGACTGTTTGCACTACGTTTTGTTTCGGGGCATTGGGGGAAGGGTCCAAGGTTTTCTTCCATGTGCATTGGGGGTGTGACACGTGGCTTCTGTTGATTTGCTGCATCGAGGTTGATCATTGAGCTCAGCATCCCTGCATGTGGTTACTATGGAGCTTTGTACACTCATAGGACCATGGTGAGTTGATTACTTTGATGCTTTTGCCCCGTTTGCTGCCGGAAAGCTGCATTTCTTGTGCTAAGCCGTGTGTTCTGGCTGGCTGAGCTATGTGTCGACTGAGCAAGTATTGGCAGAAAGCCGGGAAACTTGGTTGGCAGGACGCTGCTTTTCTTCTTTTGCGGCGCCAATTTGATATTCGTTGCTCGTGCCTCAGGTTCTTGTGCCTACCATACTAATCTTGGCAGTTGCAAATGCTCTTGCTTTGGTGTTCGATGTTTTGGGTTGATTCCGTGCCACAAGCCAGAATTTAAGCTCTGCCAACTGACGCAAGTTCTGCGGTGTTGCTTGCAGGCAGTGAGTCTGCTTCGCTGCATCGCCGAGGTTGCTTCCAGCATTAACTTCCTGCGTTACATCATCAGAATGGGCGGTGGTGCTGAGGCGTAGGGCACTTGGCACAAGACAGAGAAAGAGAAATAGAGAGAGAGAGAGAGAGAGAGAGAGAGAGAAAGAGAGAGAGTTGGATGTGGAGGTGATTGAGTCTTGAGGCTTTGGTGTAGGATGCAGCTTCCAGTACAGGGGCTGTATCTTTATGAGATGCAGACGTCAGACACTGAAGATTGCGGGTTCTCTCTGAGGTGTGCCCTAGAGGCATACACAGCCCAGCAGCGGGACTGCGAGATGCTACACAGCCGGCGCCCCGGCGCCCCGGCGCCCCTCCAAAACGTTAGTTCGCTTCACCGATCTTTGTGGCCCTGGGCCATGAGATGGTCTTGACGCGTGGCTCAGCCCCGTCCCCCCGTAACTGCAATCGGAAACCAAGAGGCTCCTTGGCTCCGGTTCCGTGCCTTTTGAGTCAACTGAAAAGGCCCGGGTTGAAGCCAAGCATCAAAAGAGGGCTCGCACGGAGGCGATGGTCCGCTTCGCTTCCTCTTCCTCAGCAGCTTGCTGGTCGACCCAGCTGCTTCGGGCAATCCCTCACCCACCCTCGGCAGCCCACCCTCGGCACATAATGAGAGGAAGATCCGACCTTGTATGAATCACTACTGTTTGCCGATCTCAGAAAGTGTTATTGTTATATTGAGTGCCATGATCTGAGAGTTCAACATGGCAGGTGCTCACTTGGTTCAGCTGTCTCTCCTTTGGGGCGGGCAAAGGTCTCTACCAGGCACAGGTTTGCCGGGACGAGACAAGAATGACCTTTGCAAGTTTCTGAGTTGCAGGTGGGCTTGGACGAATGTGGCACATGTGGTAGCTCCACTTGCACGGATTGTGTTTGCATGCGTTTTGTTTGCATCGCTGCATGTGTTTGTGATCTTTTTAGTCTTGAGAATGGTCATGCCATAAACGCACTTCTCTGAGACGCAGGAAGCACCGGACTGCTTGCTAGATCATGCGAACATTGCACTATGTAGCTAGACTTAGCAAGGTGAGGGGATGTCATCTATTTTCTAGCCTACCCAGCCACCTTTGTAGATCAAAGGGTCAAAGGGCACTCACCTGACACTTTGGAGGGCCTGGCGCCGAATGAGTCGTCCCCCTTCTCGCACCGAGCCCAGCTGAAATTTATGGGACACCGTAGCGTACTGTTTCTCAGGAGCGAGAGGTGCTTTTCTGCTTTCAAGTTCTCAGTTTACAGCGACAAAATATGATCCTTGGCTTGTTCCAGATGATACAAGGAGTTGTTCTGGGAGGATTGAGCGCCACCATTCCAAAAGGACAACTGCAATCAAGGACGATGGTTGAACGTTGATGGCAGCTACCATGCCAGCAAAGCTCGGCCGTTGCATGTTGGTGCTCCCGAGGAGCTGCACATTGTTTGCTCATCACTACCACCATCAACAAGAGACATTCCCATTATCCATTGCTTGAATCGTGTTGAGAGCCATTCTGTGAGAGGCGTTTGATAGTGAAAGCGTCCGTCGAAAGCGCTGGGCAACAAAAACAACTCACTGAAGGACATGCACGGCCACGGGATCGCAAGCCGCGTCTCAGGTCGGCTCCTGTCATTGGTGAGGTCATCGCGACACCGGAGGCAGGTCCTTGCGCTGCCTCCCTGTAAAGAGGAGCAATTGCTCGCGCGCATGCAACATGAACGGATGCGAAGCTAGCCAAGCCGCTGCGATCTCATCTCCCAGGTATTCTCTTGCATTGGCCAAATGATGTCTAGCAATTACAGAGAGGAAAGCTTCCGAAAGCTTGAGCTCTTGCAGTCAGGCAACCAATAGGGATGGCAAAGTTGCCCCTTGCCAAATCTTGCCCTTGCCATAAGAGGCTCAAGAGGAGGGGAGGCACTGCCCCACTAACATAGAGTCTACAGTCCTTTTCACCATTTCCAGCATTTCTTGTCACAACTGGTGTAGTGGCAAGATGGCTTTCAATGCAGCTCTCAGATTTTGCAGTATCCGCACGTTTGGGGAATGCAACAAAGCTGCAGATTGCGTGGGAAAGTGCACCTGTCCCTTCCCCCCATTGCAGTTGCACCTTGGTCAGGGCCGTGTCCAAAGAAATGGCGGTGCGTGGCCTGGATCCTGGCTGCGATCAGTGAGCAGGTAAGCAACAACTCGTGTCGAGCACACAAGATTTTCTTTCTCTCTCCCTCCCTCCCTCCCTCCCTCCCTCCCTCCCTCCGTCCCTCCCTCCATCCCTCCCTCCCTCCCTCCCTCCCTCCCTCCCTCCCTCCCTCCCTCCCTCCCTCTATCCCTCCCTCCCTCCCTCCCTCCCTCCCTCCCTCCTCCCTCCCTCCCTCTGTCTATCTCTTTGTATTATATATATATATACATATTTGTATGCTACCCCCTCCAAATGTCTACCCTTTTTTGTTTTCAATGGTATTTGCGGTGTTTGATGTCCTTTTTCGTGCTTTGGGGAAAGCAGCAAAAAAACGATGCCCTATTTCAATCTATTTAGGTTCTACTTAGAAACTGGGAAAACACACCCTGGAAAAGGAAGTCCCATTTAAGATCTAATTTGAAGTGAGAATGACAATTAAAGTATTATTCCAACAGCAAATCCTAAATCATTTTTAGAACTACAAATTATATTAGGGTGCTTCACTGTTAATTTCTATCTAATTGCAATTAGAAGCTTGGACAACTCAACCCGACAAAAAGAGACTCACTTCAAAGTTGAATTGACATCACAATTCCAAATAAGAATATTATTTTAACAGAAGCCTACTTAGATTCTCGTTAAAACTAGACACTTTATTAGATATATACCCTTACTACATTCTATTTAATGTCTGATCAACAAATACAACTATAACACAATTCAAATTCCAATTTCAAGTTCGACTTTGAAAAGGAACACCTATTTGGATTCTCTTTAAACTAGAAATCGTACGGATTATTTCCTTATTAAACTCCACTCAAATATTATAGAAAATTGAAGCCCGATAAAAGAGAAAGAGACCCCCTTTAGAATCTAATCTGAAAAAATCGAAATTTGAAACGTTTAATCAATTTTGTTGTTTGATCATCATTCAGAAATAATTTAATAATGACATACTTCTAGTTGAGTTTCTGGTTTTCACGATAATTGAGATAGGCTTGTTTTAAACGGGTTTTAATTGGATTGATTACACATCTTTTGTGAACAGGAGAAACTACTTAGATTCTCTTTAAACTGGAACATCCTACTGGGAGTATTTCCTTATTAAGTTCAGAAGAAGAAGCGGAGACCGCCTTTAAAGTTTAACTTGACATAGACATTCCAATTACGCATAGTCTTTGAAAAGGAGATCCTACTTAAATTGCATTTTCAGAGTTCACAGGTATTTGCAGTTGCTGCCTTTTTTTGGGCTTTAGGGAGCGCAGCAAAAAAGGGCGCATGTCCAAAGACAATCTGCAAGCTTCGGGTTTCAAACTTTTCCCTTCGTCTCCCTCTTTCTCATCCTCTTCCTCTTCGTCTTGCTCTTATGCTTCCTCATCCTCTTCCTCTTCGTCTTCCTCTTCCTCTTCGTCTTCCTCTTCTGCTTCCTCTTCCTTTTCCCCTTCTCCTTTGTTTTCCTCTTGGTTTGTTCTTGCTGTTTGTCTTCTCCTTTTTCTTCCTCTTTCCATTCCCGTGCCTCTGCCTCTTCCTCTTCCTCTTCCTCGTCCTCTTCCTCTTCCTCGTCCTCTTCCTCGTCCTCTTCCTCGTCCTCTTCCTCTTCCTCTTTGTCTTGCTCTTGCTCTTGCTCTCACCCTTCTTCTTATTCTTCTGCTTCCTCTTCCCCTTCCCCTTCCCCTTTCCCTCTTCCTCTTCCTCTTCCTGTTCCTCTTGCTCGTCCTCTTGCTCTTCCTCTTCCTCTTTCTCTTCCTCTTCCTCTTGCTCTTCCTCTTGCTCTTCCTCTTGCTCTTCCTCTTCCTCTTCCTCTTCCTTGTTCTCTTCTTCTTCCTTTTCTTTTTTAGCATCATTGTTCTCTCCGTAATTTTCTCCTTTTTATCGTCTTCTTCTTCTTTGCCTTCTGTATTTTTTGCGCTTTCTTCCTCATACGTAAAATAGGCATCCTGCTTGCGCCGATCTTTGTCGACAACAGGGAGGTTTTCATTTCTTTGTTTTGGGCTGGGCCGTAACCATGCCAACTATCCAGTCCCGACAGCGCCTGTGATGTGAGAGAGCTGCGGCGCGCGGCTCGAAACCTTTCGGTTGGCTTCAGATTTTGCTCTTTTTCGAGCCATGCCGCAGCCGCGAAGGCGAGGTAGCCTCTTTTGTTGCGGGCATTCAGCTGCCGCTTGGAAGCTGGTAGAGGCCTTTGCGAAGGATTCACATTTGGAATTCCTTGCCTAGCTGCTAATGTGAAAGCGCTTTGTAAGTTTGGCCTTTGCCGATCGGCTGGGCAAGTATTGTGTGTCTTGATGAGCCCAAAAGCTAGAACTGGTTTGCGACATTTGTGGCACTTTCTTCGACACGAGACGATGCTATCAACTTGTACAGTATATCCAGTCACAAACAAACAACAGCAGGTTTCGCTTTGCAACTGGATTTAGAATGGTTAGGGTGATGCCAATGTCACAGGCCTTTGTAACACTGTTCTGCGAATATCTTTAAAGCCTGGCAGATGTTGCTTTGGACATGCAACGCATTGTTTATCGTTGCCCACATACAGTGCGACGTTCAATCATACACGGTGTGGCACTCCTATCTCGAAAACCTCCACCAATACGCTGATCTTGGCAAGCTTCTTCTGGAAGTAGAGGATGCAAGCGTACGCTCCAAAATGTGTGCTTATCAAGGTAGTGAAGTGCGTGCCGATCCTTCATGTGGACAACCCCGTTACGTTCAAATATTCGGCAGACCCTTGTGTCCAAAACTGCTCCGTTTCAGTGCAATGCAATCAATAGTTACTGTACTGAACAGTTGCGCTTTTCGGTGCAGAAAATCGAAAACGCTGCAGATTCATACAGACTTGAACATGTTGACCCAATCAGGGGCATCAACAGAAGAGGCCTTATGCAGTTGCGTTTTTGCTTGTGCAACTGAGTCTAGCCGTTGTGTCCTGCTCTTCAGCTGGTTCTTGTGCTTCATGGATGTTGGACGAAGCATAACGAGTGTGAAGCACTCTAGCTTCTTGCGCAAAATGTTTTTGACGGCAGGTTGAACAGAAGATACCCATATGCTATTATGGGAGTCTGCCGTGGATGGCCCATCACTACCACCTTGCTTTAGGCAGTGCCTGCAACTGCCGCCAAAAGAAACAGCCTGATCACGTCACCAATAGTGGTGTTGACAATGTTCAATGCCCGTCCTTGACATGATCATGTTTCAACCATACTCCTCCCTGAGCTTCCCACGCATCCAGCGCCTTGAGTTTTGTAGAATTCTTAGACACTCTCCAAGCTTGCAGAACACAACGCGACGTTTGGGCATACCTGAGCATGGGGTGTTCTGCGAGAGGCTGCTGGCCCTTCTGGGCTCCCTGGCCATCGCCCGCTGGGCTTTCGTGGCCCCAGGCATTTGGAGCACGCTCGCTTGGTCTCATAGTGAGAGAAATCGATGCCTCAACCGTTGCTAGACACCTCGTTCATCAGTTGCTTGTTGAGAGATGTTGCGTCACATGGGTGCAGGGGCCCATAGCCATCTCCCGTCTGCTATTTGTGACAAATGACAAAAGCGTTTCGAAAGCAGAGCTTCAACGGATGAAGATTTACGGGCAATCCTGCTCTCAGGCACACCACCGAGGGAGGGCAGCAGGAGAGCCTTGCGCCTTGGCTTAGAACTTTGCAGAGGCCAAGGCCTCAAGCTGCGTTTGATTTTGCCGCACGTAGAAGCACGGAGCGCTTGACTTCGTAGTGTTTCTTAGAGCTGGACACCACAGGACATGCGCAGACCGCCTGCAAAGCAAATAGCATGTTATAGGGGGTCCCGCTGCATGACCATCAAGTGCTCGAAATCAAAATAGTATTTACATTGTCTTCTATGAATCAATGTTTTAGTTTCCCCCCCCCTCAAAAGGAGGTCTACCATCCTAATGAGTCTATTCGGCACATTTTTCTTCAGATCGCAACCTTGCAGCAGTTGCTGCACAACAAGCAGATTCAACAAGTGCCCTGACTATTGTCCATGCGTGGTTCCTGAGCGTCACATGTTTTTCACCTTGGTCTGCTTTGTTGCACACTGGCTAAGCGAGTGGGTGGCGCCTTTTGCAGGCTGGGCTCTGCTGGGGCGGTGCTGCTTGCCTCTGCCGTGTCTTGGCTGGCACAAGGCGAGGTCGAGAGGCGAGGTCGAGAGGCGGATGCGTTTTCTGGGACGTCCGGACAGTTGTTGGAGTCCGAAAGCCAACCTGGCTTGGGATTTGAGGCAGATGCGGAGGACCAGCCGGTGGCCGCGCGCACTGGGAAAACTCCCTTCGCCAAGATGGATTTCCAGGCCACCTGATGTGCAGGAGGGTTTATATAAGATCTTTGACAATTTCATTCGATGTCCCTTGATCACAACCGTTGCCTTGGCCAAGACTCGAAGAATTGGCTCTTAAATCTTCGCAGCTGAAGGTCGGGCTCTGCACTTGTGAAGTGCTGGAGTTAGGCCAGTCAGTCTTCTACCCAGGTTCAATCTGCCAACGCTTGCCTCAATTCTCTCGATTTTTCAAAGTCAGTGTGGCTTGATTTGAATGTGGTCGGCATAGATCTACTTGGTGGCAATCCTTGCCTTTCGGAGCTCGGGCCAGGTCCTGAGAGAGGGGAAATGCGAACCCGCAAAGTTGGGCGACTTGGTGAGGCGAGAGGGGGCTTTTGACTTGCCTGTGGTGTTTTGAAAGCTTTATCCCGCCAGCTTGGGTGGGCAGCTTTTGGGGGACCGAACTGGAGGATGGGCCCCAAAGCATCTTGAGGCAGAACGTTGTGTCAAGTTGAAGGGCTGGGCATCTTATTTTCGAGTGGATGGCTGAATTCCGAAGATGCTTGGTATCACTGCCATCGATTATCTTGCAGAACTGTGCAAGCTGAGGTTGGCCTTCTTGTCATGCTAAGCTTTGAGATGACTGTGCGACAAGATTTCCCAATCTCGCTTTAGATAGCCTCCGAGGATATTTGATTTTAGCAATGATGAGAGGCAAGGCTGACCAACCCAAGAGTGCAGTCAATATGCAACAGGGTTTACCCAATGAATCTAGCTTCCCACGGAGAATGGCGGCAGGATCAAGCACCGGGCCTGGTTCGACAACTTTGAAGAGGGCGCACCCTGGGAGTTGACGATGGTGGGCAGACAGGCCCTGAGGGGGAACAGCGGCATTGCTCCGGAGTATCCTTGAAACGGGCTGAAACATAGCGGCTGCGCATGAATGTGGAGGATCACCAGAGCACTGACCTATTAGCATGATGATCTAGTCTTGAAATCCAAATCTGGGCTCACAATCCCAGGATTGCGGACACATTCGAGTTGAGAATGCAAGTCAGCAGACTTGCAGATGAGCGTTGCTGTCGGGCTTACTTAGAACGTCCATTGGATCCCCGTCAATTGCAACAGGCCCATGAAGTTGGGACGCTGTTTCCCGACGCAGGAGGTGGGCCCATACCAATCACCAGTCAGGATAAAGGTGGGCAAGGCGCGGGCCAGGGCGAGCGCTGGGCTCTGGCGAGGTTGATAGCCAGTTGAGGTAGTTGCCACAGAGGCTTTGTTTGCTCCACAGGTGAGTCACGATCAAAACCCGGCTAATTGACGGGTAGTAAGGGACAATCCCAGAAATGGGTGCGGTCACCTATTCAGTTCTTTACAGGGTTCTGGGTGACCATTTTGATACCAGGCTTTGATTGTGACTCAGGTGTTGACCTCCAAGTATGTGCCAGACTGGCTTTGCTGGGGGATCCACACTTTTGCACATCCAGAGAACAGTCAAGCCTCCTGCATAAAGAGGTTAAACAGCAGTTGTACCAGTGCCTCGTTTCCACTGATTTGAAGCCTGGATAGACCTCTTTTGAATGCTTGACCAGCGAGCATTGGCATATTAACATACTAATAGTTTTGCTAATGCTTTCTTGGATTTGCTCTTGTGCTTGAACACAAGCTTGAAGGCAAGCGCACGCGTCCAGTCTCCCTCAGCACGCTGCCAGACTCCCCTGACGCCGTACGACCCTCCGGCCCTTACGGATGCGCTCATCGGCATGCGGCCGGGTGAGCTGCGGCGAGTCGTGGTGCCGCCCGAGCTGCCTGACGCAGAGAGCTTGTGCAAGGGTTGTTGCGCGCATCCAGAAGAGACAACCATTCGGAAGACTCCTGATTTCGAAACACGGCCACAGGCATCACAGTACGACATGTTTGGAGGCTCTGCTGTTGAGGCACCAGCTGAGGTTTGGATTTGGTGCGAAGGGCAGGACTTGGGGGATGCAGGGACATAGGGAGTCACTTCTTGGAAGCCAAGGACCAAGCTGCAAGAAACACCTGAGGTTTATTGCGCTGATCACGTTCATTTCTTGGTGTATTTGTTGCAACTTCTAACCAGCAATCCTTTCGGGTCAGCACCAGGTGCAACTCTGAGTGAGGGTTTCGATATTGATCCTCTGTCAATTAGCGCGGCCAGCGGAGTTTCTTCAAATGTGACTGAGTTGACATGTCGAGTACAACAGCGAGATGCGGGTCTGTTTGCTTCGATACTTGCGCGCACCAGCTGACCATGCGCCGGTTTTGCGAAACGGACCGCAATGCCTCCTGAACCAACCCAGCAAACGGGTGAAGCCAAGAAAGCCAGGAGGGAAGGAGCAAATCAACGCGGCATCTCTGGCGTGCGAAGCTGTTTGCGATGAGCAAAGCATTTAGTGCAACCTAAGCTTCGTTGTCAATGGCAAACAGCCTGCGTGCAAGCAAAGACAATTGCTTCTATTTTGACTGATGGCTTCCTATCGCCTGTGAAGCCATCTAACTGTACTATGACCCCATGGGTTGGTTGTTGGCTAGTAAGTCCTGCTCAACCATTTTTGTTGCAAACTGTCGGGCGCGTTCAGGAGCATCGCTGGACCTCAGGAAGATCAGGCAGCTTGGCTTGTGATTTGTGGCTCAGAAATCTTGCTCAGTGGAGCGGCCAAGAAGAGTCCTTTTTTACGGCTACATTGTCGGACTCGGTTATTACTTTCCTGTGGAGTTCTCTTTGCCAGTGTGAGACCGACCAGGCAGCTTTGCCCATTCACGCGAATCTGAGGACATCCCTCCCAATGCCCCGTGTCCTGGCTGAAGTTCAAAGGCGTGGAGGTGTTTCCGAAGATTCCAGGGATTTGAACATGCCATGGTGGAAGGCCGTTTTCCTCATAGTGGCCTCGGGATTCTTTTCATGCTAGCCAGATCGGGACCTTGGTATTGGAAGGCCCCTTTGCCAAAATCAGCCAGGGTTTTGGTTCTTCACTTTCCGAAGGGTCAAGGTGAAGCAGCAGACTGGCCGTTTCAGGAATGAATGCAGCTTCTTTTTGGACGCAGATGGTTTCAAGTTGTCCTCCGCGTTTGGACCTTCATGTTTTTCCATGTCATTCTGACATCCTCCTCTTGTACCAGGAATGTTTCGGCATACACTTGTGCCATGGGGTCACTGGTACTTCTGAGCAAAATGCAAGGGCAGCGCGTGCAGCTGAGGCTGTACTATGAGATTGAGATGGTGTGGACTGGCCCTGCACAGCTTGCTGATTGTATCAAGCCATTCACTGATGACGGCAGATACAAGCCATGATGGAAGAAGCAGTTGTCACTTGGCTGCGCCATTGGCAAAATATGCCGTTCCCACTGCCGTGTGTCAAGGTCTTCCAGTTTTTGCTTTCAAATCCCACCTCAATAGGAGCCCCGCAGTGTCGGACAGCTTGATTGTCATAGGCTAACCTTTGTACGGCTTCCTAAATTTCTGCTGCAACTTGATCTGCTGTTGATTTGTGAACAGACATGAGGCTGAGGGATCTTGAATGGTCCCTTCGTTCTCAATGGGAAAGCCGGACATGAGTTGCAGCTTGGTGACCCGACGTGATGAGGCCATGGCCTGCTAAAGGCACCGAGACACCGAGACACCGAGACCACTGGCGAGCGGAGAATGAAAGTTGCGCGGGAGCGGCTTCGGGCATGCCCCGAGTTTTGGTGCCTAGATTTGGAGCTTTCCAACTTCTTTGGAGTTGGAGATTCTGACAGGCAGGGTTTCTGAGAGAGGTCGGGAAAATGATGCAGGGGCTGGCTGTTGTCAAACAGAGCAGTGATCCAACAGAAGGCCAACGCCAAAGATTGTGGTGGTATGGTAAACCTGTTTGTTTACACAGGTGTAAGTTCCGAAAGGCTGAGTTTTAGGCGGAACGGTGGTAGTTGCAAGCAGATTCAGGCTGCCTGTTAGAGACCCGATGACACTGATTCGGACGGGCCCTTTTGGAAGCCTCCGCAAGTGCGAGACAAGTTGACATCATGCTTTGCTTTTGAGGTTAGCCATCCCACGTCTCTTTGTGCGCGCTGAGGCAGAGTGATGAGGACAGGCGGGTCGCTGACATCGCTGGGTGCCCAAGAGTAGCAATCTGTCGGACCAAAAAGAGATTCCTTCCTTTCCAGCTCATCAGAAGACCACCGTATCTTGTCTTATCACATCCGCTGATGAGCACTGCACTGAGTTCGATCAAACATCTAACGAGCTGCCATGCGTTGTGTGGTGAAGGCTGCAGGCCTTCAAGGCCGCGTAGGCAGCACAACCGTGCTTTGCAGACATCCTAAACAAAGATCAGACACCGGTCATGGTATCATTGGCAAGTTGCTATATTCCGATTCAGAGTGATGACTAGAAAGAAGCCATCAAGGCGCATTGAGGGCCATGGCCCTCCCATGACTCCCCTTGCTTTGGCTCTGAATCAGTGTTGGGGCAGCGCCATGACATGGCTGGTTTTGGGCAAAGAATGGCATGGGGGACCTGGGCCGCCTTGGGCCACCGTGGGCCATTGGACCCGACAGAGGTCGCCATTTCACAGTCCGCCAGCTTGCCACTTGCGGTCATGGCAAGCGCCCCAGGCAGCCATGCTGTCCTCAGAGGCCATGCGGCGCTGAAGGCGGGGCCCTGGACGAACCTCGCAGCGCAGACAGCAGACGGCAGACGGCAGACGGGGCGCATCGGGTTGGCCATGACCCAAAAGAGGGCCCGAAAGCGACATTGACTTTAGAAGATCCTATGGTTTTTGGAAGATGGAGGTTCATGACCATGACACTTTCAAAAGGGAGGTCGGGCAACCTCTTTAGAGCTCCCTTCCAAGAAGTCACGACTGTGCCCACGCAACGAGACGAGGCCATAGCGCACGTGAGTTATTTTGCCAATTTGGCTCTCAAAAGGACACAAGCGGACGAGAAACGATTGACATTTGGAGCAGTTGAGGATGGGCATCATTAGAGCTGTAAGACAATATCATTTTAAGCTTCCTTTGCGGAATCTTTGCCATGGATTTCAAGGCAAGCGATAGAAGGACTCAAGTCGAGGGGATTTAATTCCCCCACATCATCAGGTAGCTTCTCGATTGCTTGAACGACTCAGCCAAACGGAACGGAATGAACATGCGCCTGCAAATCTATGTTCGCAAAGGAGCAGATGGTTCATGACGTGGAAACGGCTGTGGCACATGACCTACTTGTGACACTTTGTTTGACACACAGCAGTCGAACTTTGACAAGTGTCTTTTATTTGGCGCAAGGTCGAGTTGGATTGGTTGGAACCATTTGGTGCATGCAAGCAGGACCTTAGATGCGTGATTTAGATTGAGGCAGTGTCAAGTCGTTTTCAGATGATCAGATCCGCGCGACCAGGCTTTGTGTCAATATCTGTTCGGTGGCTGGAAGGGAGAAGGGGTTCGCATCGCGAGCGCTTCGAGCTTGATACTCAGCAACAAGGCCTGCATGACACTGTGATAAAAAGGGACCATCAAGGTTCGTCCCTGCCTGACTTGCATGTATTTGGATCCCTGACGCAATGGTCCTGTTGCCTGTCAACGGATATTTGCAACAAATGCCGCCAGGATTAATGTCGGGAGGGAGGGAATCATCCGTGCCTGGCCCATCTTTGCGACAACAGCCAGGCGGACGCTCCAATTTCCCGAGACTGGGGCAAGAAACGCATTGCGGCGCTGTGGTTCCCTGGCAGGTTGCTACAAAACCTCTGAGCTGCAACAAGACTGCACGATGGTTTCAGGAGCACGCCCCTTGGCGCAACATAGTTTATTCTGCTACAACCGCAAATGCTTAAGGCAGGTTGTGTTCACAAGCCTCTCAAACGCCTAACGTTGGTATGGCAAAGTGGTTTGGGGAAAATCCGTTCTCCGAAGCGGTGTTTCACTACGAATGCATCAAGCACGGCTGGACGGAGCTGCAACTGCCCAGAAATCTTTACAATTTGAGTCCTAAGAATTGCAGAGTCACGTCGCAGGTGATCAAGCGTGCTGTTTGCTGTCTGAGAGTCTCTGGGCAAGGTACCTCTCACAAGAGAGAGTCCAAGCTGCAAGCTCTGCTCGCCCCCCCAAACAAAAAGACACCTGTCCTCAGGGCAGCTTTGGCCTGCGGGAAAGGCAGGCGCCTGCCTTATCCGTCAGAAATACCGCGCGGTGGCAGTCAGACCTCGGTTCTTGGAGCTGCACTTTTTAGAGCGGCAACCTTGGGGCTGTTTGTGCACAGCATACCGGAACCGGCCCTCAGAAGTCCGAGGTCAAGCGTGAGAATCGGTGCATAAACACAGCCACCCACACATAGATTATATATATATATATATTATATATATAAGTATAATATGCAGATATGTATAATCCATACATACACATCGTGCCTCAAGCTTTGCAAAGCGTTTCATTTGCTTTTTGATTTCTTCTCACTTGAAGCGTCACCACTGTTGGCTCGCTGCATTTTCTCTGCTGCATCGACCCGCTAACGGGTGCTTCGTAGCATTTCATGCGAGTCCCTGGTGATGCATGTGCTCGCAAATTATTTGCAGCAGTTAGAGCTCAAGTTTGAGAATCGGTCTCGACAAAATTGAAGCTCGTGTGTGCAAGCCCAGCCGGGGAAAGCATTGCAAGTCCCATCCAAGGAATTTGAGCTTTGGATCAGCCTCGGCATACCAATCATCCTTGGCTCACAAGGCTTGTGGCTGGCAGACATCTGGATCAGGTGCACAGGCAGCATTAGAAACCGGCTTGTTCTCGCGCTGGTTGCTTCAGCCTGCAGATTTGCATGTTGCGCAGCCGCTCTACTCAGAGGGTCTGATTGGCTTATTTGTTCCAAACAAGTGGCCTTATGCACACAGCATATGCATAATGTTTGCATCGCTCAAAGGCGACCTCAGCTGAAGTTTGGCATACACAACAAGAAAACAGAAAACCTGCAGGTTTACACCCTTTGACTGGCCACATGACTGCTTGTGTTATGACCAGACGAGCTCAGACAGGAGGGGTCTCAGCAGAACAAAAACAGACTCAAACAAAAACTCAAAAACAACTCAGCCAAGAAACTCAACTGAAAACAAGACTCAAAAACACAGAAAACATATAAGCAGCTCATGATGGCTCCGCATAAGGGATCCATACTGAAGCTCAGAATGTGGAGTGGCATAGCAGAGTAGCCCACCAAGTCCCAAGCAGCCTTCAGCAACAATGCCCAGGTTTTTGGCAAGAAACAGTTTTGTGCTGATTAGGGATTGTTGCGAGAGGCTTACTAACGCAGAACACAGCACACCTGCAGCTACATTGAAGCAGCCTTGGCAGTGTGAAGAATGATGGAAGAGGTGACCGGGCAGAAGAGCCACTCGGACAGAAAGAAATGGTTCCCACAACGAAGACTTGACTTTATTCGGCATGTAGCTGTTTGCGGTTCTCAGCATGCCTCGAGGTGTGATCCTTGGGCTACTGGACAAGGGCAAGGATGAGAAGAAGTCAGAGGTCAGACAGAAGGCAAGTGCGCGGGTTCTTTACAGCTCGTATGTTTTGATCGTCTTCGGCGGGAGCTGCCTTGCTCCTTGAACGTCTCATGATTGCTTGGGGAGCTAGCTCTGAAGAATAAAGTAATTGTAAATCCGTTTATTAATCGGAGGGGTATTTATTTTAGTTTTTTTTCTCCCGTTTTTTTTTTTTTGCTTTCCGCTTTTGGCTTCTTGTCTTCTTGGCTTCTTGGCTTTTTGCCTTCTTGGCTTCTTGGCTTCTTGGCTTCTTGGCTTCTTGGCTTTTCGGCTTCTGGGCTTCTCGGCTTCTTTGCTTCTTGGCTTTTCGGCTTCTTGGCTTCTGGGCTTCTGGGCTTCTGGGCTTCTGGGCTTCTTGGCTTCTTGGCTTCTTGGCTTCTTGGCTTCTTGGCTTCTTGGCTTTTCGGCTTCTTGGCTTCTCGGCTTCTGGGGTTCTGGGCTTTTCGGCTTCTTGGCTTCTCGGCTTCTGGGGTTCTGGGCTTTTCGGCTTTTTGCTGGTTTATGCGGCTTTTGGTGGCTTTTTGGCTTTTCGCATCCTCTGCATTCCCAGTTCCTCTTCGGCAGGTGGCGTTTTGGCTTTTGCGCTTTTCGCTGGTTTATGCGGCTTTTGGCGGCTTTTGGCGGCTTTGGCTTTTCGACCCTTATTAATCAGACCTGCCCCAATGCCAAGCAGGACTGAGGATTCAGTTCGTCTCGGTTTCATTCTGTGCACGCCGCATATCGCCAACGCCACTGAGATGCAGCTGTTGTGTCGTTGTAGGAAGCCTTCAGCCAGAAGAATCTAGGTTCCTGACGTAACAGACGGGGTCCAACGGGTTTCGCTTGAATTCCTGACAGTTCCGTAATTTGCCTTCGGCTGGGACTGCGAGAGTTCGCCGACAACTTGCGGAAACCCTCCCCGCAGGTTCCCTACATGGGGTTTCCCTCAGCCAAAGAGCCAGCCAGCAACTTGCGGACAGGGCCTTGCGCTGACGGTTGTGTTTCACCGTCTCCTTTACCTATGTCCGCTATCTTCACCAGTGGAATTTGTATCCAAACTTTGCTGAGCTGTTCTGCAGGGCCGCGATTGGCCCCTGGCCGCGTGCCTGTGTTTCATCCAAATCCACGCAGGCAGAGGCTTCCATCCTGGCCACGGCAGGAGATGAGGCCTCGACGGATTGTGCCCATTGTGCTGGGCTGGCCGGGCTTGGCATGGTGTCTTGAGAGGAGCCCCATTTTTTTTGTTCTGTGTTGCAAAGTTGACTGCGGTTTGATGTGTTTGTGAGAGCTAGTGCCTCATCCATGTCAAATATGCCCGGCAAATCCTGCCAGGCAATTCCTGCCATCGGCGTCACTCGTCTCATCACACAGGTTGTGGAGGCACCTTTTCCCTACGGTTGCAAGTGCGCTTCGGAGCGGCATGTTGCGGGAAGGGGCGCAGACTCATATTGATGCTTGTAGCTTTTCCGTCGAATCCAATATTGAGGGCGCAAGTCCCACTTTCTGCCAGGTCGCCCCTTACGTGCGAGATAGCCAGCAAGACTTGGCTGTTGCAGAGAATGGGTCTCCAAGATTGAAGTGAACTTTCCAACAGTCCCATGTGTTGCGCGTGATGGTGTTGAAACATCCACACACACACAAACATCAGAAAAGAGCTTTGACCAGAGCCACATGTGGCAAATGTTTGCAGTCCATTCGAGTCTTCGGTGGTTGTCAGTTTCCAGGACTTCTGTTCAAGTGCATGGCCGTGGGCTGAGAGATGTCCTGCCTCAGAATTTCCGTCAGCCGCAGAGTGGAATATTAGTTTGCGTGTCTTTCATGGCTTTGAGAGCATGTGCCTCGAGATTGCATCCATCTGAGCATGGCCCACGGTACCTCAGGCCTGGCGAGAGGATCCAAGGCCTCTTTGCACTGCGCGAGCTGACCTTCGTTCTGGAGAAGGCTTCCCGCAAAGCACTTGCTGGCTTCCCGCGAATGTGGGTTGCAGCACTGATGTTTGCGTTGCAGGCTGAGCAAGCGTGTCCATCATTGATTGCTTGAAGAGCATTGGGCGTGCAAACAAACAGCTGGACAGCAACCAGATTCCCTTTTGCGAGCTTCGTTTGCCTTTGTGGCCTTCCACTCCTCGAACATACAAAGCAGAATTCCAATTAACTTGTGGCTCTGGTTTGGACATAGAAGGGTTGGACGAGTGTGCAGGACCGTGTGCAGTGCTATGTGCAACAGATCACAAAGCCGGTCCTTCTCAGCTTTTCCGACGAGGACACCTATGCATGCAGACATGTTCACTGTGCTTTGTCTTCAGAGGTTGTGCCTTGGCCGGATTTCCAATATGGCAATTGCCATAGGATGTGGCAAAACAGGAATCATCCACCAGAGCTCTTCTTTGGGGAGCCAACTGCGCCACTTGGTCTTGCTTGGCCCCGCTTCGCAAGGACGCGCAGGTGAGGTACAAGGCCTGCGAGGCCTTCTACAACATCGCCAAAGTCATGCGCTCCGGCATCCTGCAGGATATGGGCGCTGTCTTCGATGGACTTTGCAGGTGGGCGAAAGGGAAGTGGGCCGAATGGCGCCGTGACTGCCTTTGCTTGAGGCTCTACACAGACGTGGAGCAGAACATCAAGGAGGGCGCCCAGAGCCTGGATCGGCTGGTGCGGGACATCGTCGTGGAGCAGCGCCATTTCGACTACTCCGCGTCCCGTGGCCGCGTCAGTTGGGTCCCAACCTTTCGGGTGCGACTCCGACCTTTCGGTTGGTTCGGCAGTACCGAGACGTCGCCTTGGGGCGTTGGGGCGTCCGAGGCTAATTCCCCTCATCACCTCCAGGATTCACGTTTTGAATCCATCCGCGCCTTGGCGCCGAGCGGTTGGTTGGATTCGGTTGGGTTCGATGGTTCGGCTTTGGCCGGTCTTGCCCTCGTTAATCGCTTTGGCTTGGTAAGCAGTTCGCTTGATGGGTCAGTCAATTTGGCTGCTATTCGGAGATGCGATTGTGTTGGCAGCTTCATCGGCTGGATGACCGGGTGGCTTTCGTTTGGCTCGCTTGAATGCTTGATTTGGTTGCGCGCGCGTGGCAGGTGCGGCAACTGGTCTTGGGCTGGATCGTATTGCTGGACTCACTGCCGCAGGCTTGGGCATGTCTCTTCTTTGGGAACCCGGCAAGTTGAGGCTTGATCCCCGTTTTCTGGTCCTTGGAGTGCAGCGTAGCACTTGGGCCTTGCATTTTGAAGCAACCACTTTTCTGACCCTGGTGATTGGGTCTGCAGGTTGGGACCCTTCAGAAGCGACGAACATGTGGTTTTGAGTTGACTTCGGTTCCCAAGCACATATGGTTGATTTCACAACGTTTGTTCGGCGAATCTCAAGACGAAAATTCTTGGAACACTGGTTTCATTGGGAATCGCAAGACTTCTGGTTGCCTCAGGTGGATATGATTGCCTTCCTGCCGCACTACTTGGAGGGTCTCTTCGGCATCCTGGCCAGCGACAACCGGGACTTCCGGCTCAAGGCATTCATTCTCGCTGCGCGCGCTCCGTAGCTCCAAGGATCCGAGAAGCCTTCAACTGAGGCGATTTGTTGGGGCCCCGTGCTGTTCCCTGATCCCCCATTCGTCTCTTTCTCGATTTTCGCCCCCCCTTCCGGCCCCGAAAAGTCGTTCAATTGGCACTTTCCGAGTAATGACTTTCAGCAGAAGTCATACATACCTCTTGGGAACTTCTAGCCAGCTCAGCATCGGCTTAGTATTGGTTCAGTCTTGTTTGAATACTGGTCTCGTCTCGGTTTGTAAAGGTCTTGTTTTGGTTTGGTATTGGCATTGCATTGTCTGAGTATGTGCATTCTTACTGTTATTTAACACCGCTTTGCTTTGAAATGAGTGCAGGAATGGTTTGGCTCTGATTTAGTAGTGTTTGCATGTTTCTTGAATAAATGGTAATCAAATGATAAGCTGCACGTTGGAAGATAGAGGTTCTCATCACAGCAGCACATGTGGGGAAGCTTGGACGTAACTACCAGTAGAGCCGGCGAAGCCGGTGGGCGGAAGTTTAAAAAATATAAAAACTATAGTTCTCTTTCTCTTTCTTTTCTTGACTCTTCTCTCTTCTTCTGCCTTTTCATTGTTTCTTTTTCTCCGTCATTCTTCCTTTCTTCCTTTCTTTCCTTCCTTCCTCCCTTCTTTCCTTCTTTCTATCTGTCTTTTCTTTCTTTCTTTCTTTCGTTTGCTTGCTTTTGTGCTGTTCTTTCTTTTGTCTCTTCTCTGTCTATGTATCTATTTATCTATCTATCTATCTATCTTTCTATCTTTCTATCTTTCCATCTATCTATCTCTTGTTTAATCTATCTATCTATCTACCTATCTCTCTCTCTCTCTCTATCTGTCTATCTTTTTATCTCTATCTATCTATCTATCTCTCTATCTATTTATGTATCTATCTATCTATCCATCTATCTAATTTATTTCTCTATCCAGCTACCTATCTATCTATCTATATCTCTATCTCTCTTTCTATCTATTCATCTATGTATCTCTCTATCTATCTATCTATCTAGCTGTCTATCTATCTTCTGTTGGTTTATCTATCTAACTATTTATCTCTCCATCTCTCTCTCTCTCTATCTCTCTTTCTTTCTATCTTTCTATCTCTCTATCTCTTTCTTTCTATCTGTTTATCTCTCTATCTCTTTCTCTATCTCTTTCTATCTATCTATCTATCTATCTATCTATCCATCTATCTCTCCATCTATCTCCCGCGTGTCTATCTATCTATCTATCTATCTCTCCATCTATCTCCCGCGTGTCTATCTATCTATCTATCTATCTATCTATCTATCTATCTATCTATCTATCTATCTATCTATATATATATATATATATATATGTATCTCTATGTCTCTCTATGTATCCCTCTGTCTGTCTATCGATCTATCTATCTATCCATCTATATCTGCATCTAAAAGTTGCGATTTTCAAGCCCCAGCTGCGAAAGTGGACT